TGAGTATACTAAATTCGAACACATTAATTTGAATTTTGATTTTCGAACGAGAATCTGATTTCAATCGACTAAAATCGAATAAAACACGGATAAAGCTTAATGTCTGTAATTTTCCGTGCGTAATGGACGTACATGCGATTAAGCAACGCGATGTTTTCGCTCGACACGCCACGGCTTCCGCGAATCGCTTTCTGTGTATGGGTCTTTAACGCATATCTCGCACAATCAGTCACGTATACCGCCGCCGGGGATAAATGTTTTTCGACTATTCACGGAAAATCACAAAGTTCGCGAGAGATCGATGTACGACCAGAGAACGAGTGTCCGCGAACACGTGCACATCCTATTATCGTGGTGTTCGTAAACGTGTTCATCCGCGATCTTCCGGCGTTTCCTAAGTGATCGTAACCGCTTGCAAAATTAAATCAGCAAACATTCGGGGCCATACCGTCGTGTAACGGAACAGCAGCTGACACAGGCGGAAACTCGTTTCACCGCAAGAGAAAGAGGGAGAGAGAGAGAGGGAGAGAGAGATTACAACGAAACTAAAATTTCGCAATTCCGTATAAAATCGCGCTTGAAAATTCTGTTTATCGCGTTACTGCTGCGGACGCGATTTCACGTTACAGTGAAATTTTGCGCGTGAACGCGAATCACGCGCGTAATGACCGTCATTCGTTCGTCGATGCGCGCGACGGCGCCCGTCACGCGCGTGTCGACGCGGCGAAAAGGGAGGGAGGGAGGAATAAAAGAGCGGAGAAAATAGGGAAAAATCCGACCTCGGGCGAGTCATTGGGCGGATTTTCCGCGCGCCCGCGCCAACTCGAGCGGAAACGCATTTTCGTCCGCGAGATACGCGTGACATGTGTGCGCGCACGCGCGTTTGTACACACACCAGCTTATCTCCCCTTACATTGGCGTGCCGCATCCTGTTATTACTAATTCTTAAAAAAATGATCGATATCAGCGAGCATGCTAATTATGCGGCGGCGTTTCGTCGCGCGCTTCTGACTATGACTGCGCGCGGCAGATAAACGCAGAGCGCGAGAACTCGTTCGTTATCGTCGCGAGAATTACGCAACCGGTCGCGGAACAACCGCCGAGGAATTTTCACACATAACGTTCAGCGAGGAGAGTGATGCGCGAGATAGATAGATGGAGAGATAGAGAGGAGGGAAGAAGGGAGAGGGAGTGTCACTTTAATGAGATACTGCTTAATTAATGTATCCAATAATTCCGTATTACAAAACATTTAAGTAATCTCGTTGACCGTAAGCAGACGCTGGTGAACGCTCGCCGCCGCATTTAATAGCATTTAGCGACTCCCTTCTCCCGACGATTTACCTACTAATTTCGTTAACGCGCCAACTTGCTAATTCCATTGTGCATGCAACTAATACATTCAACACCTTCCTCACACCGCGCGCGTAATTAACTACGGCACTGGAATTTAAGTTTATCCCTCGAACTCGCGCGCGAGCAAGGGTCTACCTACCGGGAAGAAGTGAGAGGTAGGAGGAGGGGCAGAGAGAGGTAGAAAAGAACTCGATATAAACGCTTAAACTGACGAGAAACTAAATAGAATGGCAAACGTTATTTAAACCGGCCTATCTTATCGCGAGCGCGATATTTCACCGATCTTTCGGTGGTAAAAGACCGTGCGCGGCTTTCGAAATTGGAACCGACCGAGTCAGGAGCGCGACGATTGAAGAAGAACCGACGTGGAAACCGAAGATAGCGAGAGCTCGATTCTCGGTCGCGAGCTATTTAGGCAGAAAGGAGATTGTCGCGGAGATTAATTTCCGTCTACGGCGTGCAACGTCTACGTCGCGGCCTTCACGGTCACCCGGGCGCACGTATTCGCGCACGTACGTCAGACATGAGCCTACGTCAACGAAATCGGCTGTTTCTCGCCGCTAATAACCGGCATCGTTATCTCGACTGATAGGCGACAGGCGGCTAAATCGTGCCCCCAATTCTCCGCGGAGATAGGAAATCTCGCGCAGAATCGGTTCTGTCGTCGACGATTTCTGCACGGTGGACCTCGGCTCGTGCAAATACACGCTTATGTTTCCAATGGGAACGTTTCGCAATGGACCTAATATATTATGCAAAATTCATGTGTGTGTGTGTGTGTGTGTATTGAAAAGTAATGTCCTTGAGAGATATTTCACGACAAAGGGATTATTGCGAGAATTGAGCGGGCGGTTTCGTTGCGCGTCTCTCGTGCGTACGTATGTTTGCGGATTTTCGCGGCAAACCGAGTGATTGTTCACTCAGAGATTTTGAAGAGGATAAAAATTTTCTAAATTTTAACGTATAAACCGATCCTCAAACCCCGGTAATATCCGTTATTAATTTAAATTCCTTGAAAATTCTTATCCAATCTTATTCAAATCCAATCCAATTTAAATTAATAACGAATATTATTAGGATCCAAGGGTCAGTTCGTACGTGGAAACTGAAGGAACACTTGCCGTGTTCGTTTATCCGAGAAAGTGTGGTACATTTCACATACACGATGAACAAAACATTTATTTATTTAATGAAATTTGCTTTATTTATTAATTAAATTTATTTATTTATTAAATGTATTAAATGATAGAACACCCATGTTATACTCTTTACAGCCCAATAAATGTTCTACTCTTTTTATCCCTCTCTCTCTCTCTCTCTCTTTCGCAAAACGATGGGCTCGACAGTTAAAACAACTCGCGGCGTTCGTGACCCCGTAAATAGCTCTTGATTCTGAGTTATCTGTTTTTCGGTTTGCGTGTATCGGGAGATGCAGATGCATCGGGTTTTTCGATAGAATGCAAAAACGGGGTCGCTGCTGCTTCGAAAGTATGAAGAGATGTAAATCAGAATCGAAAAATACCGAATCTCGGAAGCAGTGATATAATTTCGCAAACAAATTACTATCGGAACATTGCTATACGATAGATCGATGATAATGCACTATATACGATATCTCTTCGACAATATCACATATGATGGGAAAAGAGGACGACGGAACGGCGCGAACAAGTGAGCGAGGAATTTTTCACTGCGACCACGAAAGGTGCGAAATGCAATGACGAGAATAGATTCGACGTCGATTTTGAGATCCGCGTGTTTACGCTAAATCGCGAAAAATAATGAAAATTCGGACGTCACAAAAAATCGGAGCGGTATCCGTCGGGAAGAAATGGAGAAAAAAACGGCCCATTGCGATGTCGTGTTGATACGATTTACGGAACTATAAATCGCATTCATTTTTACAATGACAATCGTATATCGACGAGCGGGACCGAATGAGATAACGGAGTTATACGCGAGGATTTCAATTTGGAGTTATCAGGTTTATACTATTTAACTCGGAGCCAGTATATAGATCTCATGCGGGATCCATTGGTCGGAAATGCATTGAGTTTCTCTCTCTCTCTCTCTCTCTCTTTCTCGGCCAATTTCGACTTCAAACGTTATCTTACAGTTCGGAAGTTTCCTTTGAGGTCTGCACGTTATCGAAGCGGAAGAAAAATAAGTTTCCCATGTGCGTCTTTCGAGTTCAAGATAAAAATACTAAAATATGTTTCGAAGATTTAAGAAGTAATCCTCGATGAAAATTGCGTTTTTTCTTTAGATATCACTGCTGGAAAATCGACATGTAGGTGAAATGGGTTTATTGATAATCCGATCGTAACAATCGCCAATCATCGATCAAATTTAACGATTCAACGCGGCGATAAAGAGCGTAAATTTCCTCTTAAAATATTAATCACCACGCTATCTTCAAACTGTCGAGCGGTCGAAATAGAATTTAATTGAAGAGTACAAAGCAGCGCGCGAGACTCTCTTCGTTTCGATATCGAGAGTTTCATCCGCTGCGCGAGAACGGGATTCTCCGTAACTCGAATTTTCGTTCAAATTCACAGTGGCTCGTGCGACGTCGAGCAAGTAAATTTTGCAACTCCAGCTTCGACATCGCGTGGTAATCGAGTCGACGAACAGCGCAGATTATCGTCTGATAGAAGGTAGCATTAAACTTTATCATTTCCGTCTCATCTAAAACGTTGTATAATTCACCTTCGCTGACATTAGCCTTGTTTACATCGCGACGTGAGTCGCGCTACCACTTTGACTTTCAATAAGTCAATTAACAGACACGCAGTATTCTTACTTTAGCTTTACCGTCGGCCACTAATTTATTCGAATTAGAGATCGCCATTACGTGAGCCGAGTTGCAGAACCGTACCTCGAATCGATTTTCCATTCTGCTTTAATAACACTCACTATTAGACGATAATCCGATCTCGTCATCTTTCCGTCTCATCACGATCGTCACGGTCGATTAATTAAACGATACCACTCAGCCGCTAACCGAGCCGGTGATTACATTGGTAGACACCGTTTCATGTGCGAAAGCGAAAATATACCAGAGTCGAAATTTTCTATGTTGAGCTGAAGTATTCTGTAAGTATCGTCGAACTTAAAGGATCGATAGTGAATCTCGAGATATAACACTATGTAGGCTACTATACTATGTTATTGCTGCAAATGGTGATTTATTGCTATTTTCTCCATGTTGCTTGAAACACTTATTCGATGATTATTTAATATCCGATTAACTCCGTCCCTTTTTAATATTTATTCGTAATTTCACTAAATAATGAATCAATTATGTAACTTATTCAACCGCAGATAGAACATGTGCGATAAGCGAATATGAATTAATTAATATTGGTAAAGAAACGATAAACTTTCTTCATTGACAATCCTTTTAATAGAATTGGAGATTTGAAATTCTTAAAAGAACTGAAAAAGAGAGAATTCAAAGACAAAGATAGTAGTCGTCTAAATATGAACAATTATTCAAATACAGATACGGCCATACAAGAAGATTAAAAAAGAAAAAAAATACTTCTCCGCGCGGTCTGCGCCTTCTGGGCGCAGGTGTGCTAGGTAAAAAGGCAAGAAAGAAGGGAAGAAAGCGAGACTCGTTGCGGGCTCGCGGCACTGACCTTGCCCAAATAGCGAAAGCCATAGTCCTCGGCGACCTGCCTGGCCACCTCCTCGCCTCCCTCGATGTGCGCTGCCCACTGGTTGGTGTACGCGCGCGCTCGACCGCCGAGAGTCAGCAGGGCCACGACCGCCAGTCCGAGAATCCGCCGCGTGCACATGATAGCTCTCCTCCTCTGCAGCGACGACGACGACCGTCACCGGCTGCTGCTCCAGTTTCGCCGGCCACCGCTATCCACCACTATATATATCCAGCACCAACACCACCGCCACCGTCGCCACCGCTTCCACCTGCCAGGATAGCAGTGACACAACGGTAACACCACGACGAACACCACGGTCGTTACGACGCACCACGGTTGCCGAGGAGAAAGAGGAGCGTGAGGCCACCCTCTACCCCTCTGTTATTCCTCTTCCACCGCCGTAGGCCGATTCTTCTCGGGAATCTTTCCCCGTCCCGGGGATTCTCTCCCTCGCTGTGCTACACGACGGAACGGCGCACACGAACACACATACGAACACGCTTCTATCTCTCCCACGCAGGCAGAAGCGCACCTGCGAACCGACTGCCGGCGAACGACTGATTCGGCCGCAACGCGTGTAACTCGTTAAATACCGCTGCCGTTGACTCCTCGTCGAGCTATCGTCGCCGTGACGTTGCCGCCACCGCCGCCGCCGCCAACGGGAAGGAGCAGCAGCGGGAGGAGGAGGAGGCGGCGATCGTCAAGTCATGTGGCCGCGAGTGGGGAAGGCGACGAGATGATCTCCGTGATAACGTCGGCCACCGGGGATGCCCGTCGCGAGCGGTCACTGCGGCGATCGTCAACGACCTTCCCGATCAGCGGGCAGCCTCGCCGCGCGGACATCCAACGCGACCTTGCCCTACGCCAACCGCGTCGATTCTCTTTCTCTCCCGAGCCTCAACGTCAGTCCGTCATCGAGCCGTTCTCTGATCCGTTTACTCGCTCGCTCGTCGGATCGTCGATCCTTCCACTCGGTAGGACTTTTCGCGCGACCTGCTCTCGCAACTTCGCCAAGATTCCGCGGACCGTTGTTCCTGGGCTCTCATAGTTCCATCTCCTTGGCTCCTGGTGGTACGCGCTTCCCGAAGGGCGTCCCGTTATTAGGCCGCTTGTTTCCCTCCTCCCAGGCGCTGCACTTTCGCCGCTGCTTTTCGTGAAAAGTTCCCTCGTCGGAAGGGGCGTGAGAAGCGTGAGGAATTTCTCGCGAGTGGTTCAGCCGGCTCTTCTCCCGTCATCAACGCGCCGTTCCTCGCACGTTTGTCATACCTTCCGGATTCCTATCGCTACGTGCCCTTTTCTTCGGCTGTCAGAAAAGTTCCCTCGGATAAGCGACCCTTCTCGCACGCATCTCAATTCCGCCGGTTTCCTCCTGTCGAGTGTCCGATCAGCCGTTACGAAGGTGCCCTCATACTCTCGACGTTCCCTCGTGCGCTCTTTCCCCGCTTCCGGACATGAACGAGTCCACGCCTTTCTGGTCCTCCGCAAAACGCTCTCCTCGATCGTTTCCTTTCGTTCTGCGATCTCGTTTAGCGCCTCGCTCTTTGGCAGTCCGCGTTTTTTCTCTTGTCGTCCCTCTCTCTCGGTTGAGCAACCTCGATGGAATTCCCGTTAGAGCGGAGTCTTCTCCGTTTGCTACCGATACCGTGAAATCTCCGAACGGGAGTTAGGGGAGAATGCCGCTCTCTGGCCGAAAGGAAACGCAAATTCGGCGAGACGCAACTTTTCAGCCCTGTCCGGGGCCTTGGCGAAGAAGAAGTGAGCGAACGGCCAGCCACTCGCGAACGAGGTCACGCCGCGCAGCTGACCGAGAGGTCGATCACGTCACCACCGAGCGCCGCATACTCCCTTGGACGCACCGCGACCGACCAGTCGTTGCCGCCAAAGTTCGACCGGGGGATGCCTTCCGCCTGCTGCTGATCTCCAACTGCAAATGGTGTCGGGATAAGTTGATTAGCCGATCAAAATTCTCAACAGGCTTCGGCCGGCGTAGTTGAACTTTCAACTTCGTAAAGCTTTGTCCGCGGGAATTAGCTCCGAGCAACTTTTCCTCTACGCTTCGTATAATCCGCGCGCGCCCACGCTCTCGCCGAAAGATCGAGAGCTTAGGTTTTCGATCGGTGAATTTTGATTTTCGCCGCGAAAATGCGTGGAGCGAGTCGCCGAGCAGCCGACGCCGTTTGAGAAAATTAATTTCAAGGAAGACTCGACGGTTCGAAGCCTTCGGAGGCCTTAGCATGACGGACGTTTGGAAATACTGATGCTATCGCAAGTCCCTTCCTATCTCTCGCTGATATCGTAATACCTACTCTCCATCGCCAACGAAACGGCGTATCACCAAGGACATGCGCTTCGCATTATCGTCACGTTTGAGGAACGTTCCGGGCCAGTCAGCGTTCTCACGCGGAAGGAAAAAGAAGTCTTCAGCCCGGTATTCACCGTCGAGCGTCGGTTTACGACGATTACGGCAGAACAGTCGTTTCCTGCACGACCGAAATTGCATTCGCCGTGCAACCTGACCGATTCTCCCGTTATGAGTCAGCGCTAATTTTGTTTTTCTATGGAAGCCCCCCGTCCGTCGCCGCAAACGAGCGCGGCGTCGTCGTTACGTAATTCTTAACGACTGTTCGTCATTAATGCAGCGCATATATAAGGTATCCGCAAAGGTCGAGGCCAATGTGTTAAGGAGGTCGAGTAGATGAAAAAAGTTCCTGTAAATTTTTGTCCAAAAACGCTTTATTAAAATGTTATTAACGTTTAAAAATTTACTAGAGGAATTGTTTTCATCGAAACACGTCTTCGAGTGCAGTTTTTATATGATGGTGTGAAGGAATGTATGTGAGTTTCTTAATTAACGTTTTATATAATATCATTATCAACAATATTGATTGTCCTTCTTACTAGATTGTTTTACTAACAGCAATTAATTTTAAGGCTCTTTCGAGATCAATTAGAACAGTTTTCCTTTTTCGTTCTCGTAGATATAGAAGCAAATGTAAACCTTATATCGCGAATATGCAGCTTTTTCTGGTTTTCTTCGGACTCTTGCGATTATTTTTCTGTATCTGTAGTATCATTTAAACGTAATATAGAGTCATATTATTATGATACAATACTTGCACAAACATGTACAAAATTATATGATGCTTGCGCATTTGCATATTTATGCATTCGACTCTGCTACTTAAATTGCTCAGCTTTGTTTGTTTCCTTTATAACTCCATTTCGATATCAGCCAGACTCCGCGGTTTTTTGTCAATATTTTCAATACTTCTCTAGTCGGTTCATAAGTTATATAATATTTTACGCTTTCTATTATGTAATCGTATATAATTTTTTTATGTTTATATAAATAAATAAATAAAAGAAATAGAGCAGAAACAATTCCCTCAACGTTGGATCGAACGCGATCACTTGACTTCCTAGGTCACCAGATTTAATGCTTCTTGACTTCTATTTATGGGGCCACGCGAAACAGTTGGTTTATGAGAATCTGATAGAAACAGAAAACCAGCTTTGGGAGTTTATTCAAGATCCATTTACTATTATTTCTAATGGGAATATTCGGAACAGTTTGACAATCATTAGTTCAACGAATGGAAGGCTGCATTCTTGCGGAAGGAAGAATCTTCGGATATTTATTATAATTATTGCAACTGAAAAAATCCGTGTATAGATCAAGACGCGTAAACTATTCCAAGTCAGCGATTCGTATAACGAGTTACAAAGAAAAATTCTGCCCCTAAATCTTTGAACGTTTGTAACTTTTTAATGAAGCATTCTCGGACATAAATTTTTATTCATGTATACCGAACGCATTAGCATATTATATAAGTCTGGTCTCGACCTTTGCAGACAACCTGTATATTATTGAGTTATTTGCGTCCATTGCGATTCTCGTACACGATACTTTTGAAGAACTTTCCTTACGTAACGTGCTTCCTGCGCCCAGTGAAGTCAATCCATCAGTCGTGCGAGCGCAGATTAAATCTAATACATGAATTCGCGATTCAAGCGCATCGAGTGCGATTGTGTTATTCGCAATGGAGACACAATCTTCTATAATCGCTGCAGCGTCACGCGATCGCGCCGTCGAATAGCATTGATTTTCTCGGCGTTTCCCGAGAACACGAGTGAGTGTGATAATTAATATTAATTTTTGCCTACGTACGCGCGACAAGCTGCGCTCGCGTATACATTAATCCAAATGATTTGCGAGCACACGGTTGAATGATTCGGCGAAGAATTCGCACGCCGAAAACACGTAATGTTCCCCTTCATTGATTTTCGCACACAGAAAGTGCAAGATTCAAGTAAAATAATTATTCCGATACTCTTTAGCAAATTTTTACTTAGATCGAGTAAATATTTTACTTGGATAATTTATTTGGGAAATATTTTACTTTGATCAAATAAGTATTACTTGATCCAGTATAAATTTTCTAAATAGTATTAGAATAATGATTTACTTGCCCAAGTCGAAATTTTGATGTTACTCTTAAGAATAGTTTGCGCCTGCTTAGACGGCCTATAGACTAATAAAAACTTATTTTGACCATATTGACACTTTTTAACTTCTCCCTTGAACCTTTAATTCTACAGATCGAATTTTAATGCTACCTCCGGAAATCTAAGACATCATCAAAGTCTTACCCAAAAAGTAGGGATTATATTATCTCATTAAAAATTGAAATTGAACTTATTTTGCTATCTTAGCTCTTATTATATTGTAGAATTAAACATAGTTTAATATAGGACTAAAATTTTAACTCGGGCGAATTTAATACTTTTTTCCTGTGCAATCTCTGAGTGACGTTCGCGGAACGTCATTTATATTGATCGCACGTATTAGTGCAAACAAATCGCACTGGTGCATTTTAATCGCGTCCTTAATTATTTGAAAAACTCGTCAAGACAGCTCTCCGTGTAGCAGATGTAACTCGTCGCAATCGGTGCATCGTTACCGTCATGAAACCCGTATCCAATTATCGTAATATCGCGACGCGATCTAATTTCTCCCCGCGGCGAAGCGGAAGCACGTCGACACGTTCCCGACGTGTTCCGTTCGGTACAGCAGCGCGAGTCGATTCGCAGGATCCGAGAACCTGGTTAAGCCCACCTCATATCGTCCGAAGAAGTCGGAATCATGTTCGAACGGCGTCAATGGCCCTTCGCGTGTTATTAGCGCGTCTGCTGCAAACCGCTGCAGTGAAATGAAGATACTCGCAAGTTCGCATTATCGTCGCATTCAAAGGATCTGCCGTCAGTCTCTGGAAAAAGGACTCGGCATCGGCTGGTCTAGACGAGCAGAGACGAACGGACAGACAGACGGACAGTTGCAGACCGCGTCATGCCCTGAGGAAATTGCATTCGCGAGTTGGTCTTCCACTAACCTCGTTCCCCACCCCCGGTCCGTCACCCCCGTTCCTTTCGTTCCCGCTGTAGCCAGTTCCGCTCTCTCCGTGATAAAGAGAGAATAGAAAAGGGTTGCTAGAGAAGTGAATTAAATTTAAGCCAACTCGCGTCCTATCCAACTATCCCTCTCCTCATCCCGACGCCGCCCTTTTCCTCCTCACAATCCTCTCGCACTTTGTGCCGGGCTTCTCTTTGTCGTGCCGTCCTCTTCATAGTCGAGAGAGAGTATGTGACCAGCCGACCGGCCGACCTACCGACCAGCCGAGACGGCAGCGATAGCCGTTTTTTTAATTTCGAGATAAAAGAGGGTAAAAATGCCCTTCGAAGAAAGATGGTTCGAGGATAGGTCAATCAAGTCAGTTACATGTTCCACTGGCGAGGAGCATTCTTCTTCGCACGATGGGCTCCTCCTGTCGCTGAGCGAGAGACGTGGCTGAACAAAAATACGCAGCAGGTCATCGGTCCGTCTACGTCAAGTAATAAGCACCTGTGTGTTAGAAAATGATCTGTCGACGAAATCGTCTTCGATAATGTGACGGCTGAACCTTTGCTGAACGCCCACTCGACCCCGGAAAGGATACTCGCGATACTCCTGTTTCGGTAACGGAGAAGCGAAGGGAACAAACGGAATTTCAGAGCCTTAATTTGAAACTTATACACTGAAAAACCCATTTAATTCAATCAACTAAATTCTTGTTTGATTATGGGCAAACAAATTTTTTGATTGTAATAACCAAAGCTTGGTTGTCTAAACCGAAGGTTTGGTTCTCTGAAGTTTCAGAGGTTTCGAAGAATCAAATCTTTGGTTCAGAAAAATAAACCTTGGTTCTTATAACAAAAAATTTGCCCATAGTCAAACGAGAATTTAGTTGATTCAACTAAATGGGTTTCTCAGTGTAGTCACGCTAAGTATTGCCAAGTTCCAAATTTAACTTTGGCCAAATCTTTACCGACGACAAACTTTAACGATCTCTGCGGGGCGTTATTACGTATTAATCAGCACGCGAATCGCCACCCTCGCACGAGAATTACACGCCGGGCTTCTCGTGTCCGCAGTTATTAACCATGTCTATAATACTTTTAGCGCTACACGCAAAGTATAATATTTCGGCAGCCGGGTCGGCCGGTCTGTCGGTTATGTGGCATAATAGAGAGTAATGAAGACACAGCGCGCTATTCGAGCGAAAGTTAGACGGTTGGTTTCAGGCGAGAAAAACGAGCGACGCGGGATTCTCCGGGCCCCAGCTCGGAGTTGCGGATATTTATTTGGAAGGGCGGCACGCGTCCGTCCCGCGCCCTTAACGATTCGTTTCCCCAGGTTCATCTCCGCTCCCAACTTCAGCGAATATTTAATCCGAAATCGCGCGATTCAATTTGCACCGGGGATTTAACGGGGCAGATTATGGAGATTGGCCCGTTACAATGAGCAGTCTTGAGGGATATGTAGCATTACGATAAAAGTAAAAAATTTTTTTGGTAGACTGCTCCTGAAAAATTATAAAGAATGAATATATATTGAGCTATGAGGAGCCAAAGTACGGATATATACTATAATGCGATTTAAATATTAATATTGTCAGTATTAATATTATTGTGGGAAGACGAAATTGTCCGGAAAATCGAGAGGTCCAAGTTCGGCTCCTGGCTGAGATTGAATATTTTTCGCAACATGAAGTAGAATAAAATAATAATAAAAAGTAATAATAATAGGTAGTAGTAAAGAATAATAAGTGGAATAAAAAATTGATTACTAATTAATTTAACAACTAGGTAAGAGTTTTTGAAGGATTTGCATTTACAATAATATCACTATGAGTCAAGGATAGGTTTTAACAGCGCTATCATCCAGTCGCCGGAACAAAAAAGTGAAATAGTGACTGCTTCTTAGCAGAAAAGATGACAAGTGACCTCTCAGACATCAAAATAATGACCAAACGTGACATTTTTTGTTAAATTTTGAGAGTAACCCAAGCCATTTAAGTAAAACAGTAATTTTTACTCTTATCATCCCAGATTTGTCTTTGGAAAACTTTACATACAGCAAGATTTTTTCATAGTACGGTATGAAAGTTTATAGCAAAGAAAGACTAAAGGCATGAACGATATAATATGGATACTAAGATAAAGAACTAGTACTTAGTGAGCAAGCGGTAATCGGCAGCAGATAAAACGATAATTATATATATATATATATATATATAAATGCCTATATTATACAAATTTAACGGCAAGAAAAATGTAATTATATAGTGAGCCGTCTTGGACGATAATGAGTTTTAGTGATTTCTCAAGAGAAAGTGACAAATGATAACTTAAGTGAGTGGGGGACAGCACTGATTTACGCGCGGAAGGTTGTTTTACCGCATATGTTTGTCCGAGAATATTCAAAATATTATTATACGCTGAACAATTTTATCTTTCCATAATAATATATTAATATTGACAATATTAATATTTAAATCGTATTATAACATCCTTTAGCTGCTCATGGCCCAATATATTCGTTTTTTAATTTTCTAAAATCTCACTTTTTCCCAGCTTCCATCCTTCTCCGATTTATCGTTCCTCTCAGAAATTATTTAATTTTTTAAATGAAAATACAGATCGCCACATCATCATTTCGGGCACGATAATCCGGCTGATACTCGAATTGCGAACGAAAGCTGACGTGATCAAAAGAGAGTCTGCAAAAACGCATTAAAAACAATATCGACAAATGGAACGGCATGAAAAATAATAGATCGATTGCGGATTATTGTTAATGGACAGTAATGGAAGCAGGTAATCAGAACGGAGGATTCGTGTATATTTTCCTGGAAATTTCTGGGACATCCGGGGAACAGACACGAGCGCGTATCTATTTTCCGCGTGTATATATTCGCGATGCTTTGTTAACGGAAGAGCGTCGAGAGATGAATTCGCTTCCGGTTACACACGGAGGCGGCCTCGCGTATCTCGTTACAGATTTTAGTTCTCGAAACGACGACGACGACGACGAGGATATCACTGACGTACATCTCGATATTACGGAAAAGCGTTGCCAAGCCGTTGAAGCAAGATGGAGAAACACCCGGTCGCTCTATCGCGAAAGATATTATTCTCACTGCCTGATTTCGCGCGTCTTCATCAACAATGCGTCGCGAGTACAGAGACAAGGTGACATCGACGGGATCTAACAATCGGTTGCAAACTCCGAAAGAATCGCTGCGATTCCGCGCGAAGAACATTTAGATCTGTATTAACAATCGTTAATATTTGAAACTTGTCTCACGTGAGATACCTCAGATCTGAATTTAGAATTAGATCGAAATTTTTCTCTCGAATCTCATATAATGTCGAAATTTTAGTTCTACGCGAAGATTCTTCGACGAATCTGACGTCACTTCGGGGATCTACATTCATCCCGAAGATCTACCGAAATCTAGAATTTCTCTTCGACGGAAATAAATGGCGATTCGTCGCGACATAACGATTTCGTTAAAGTGGAGCGATGTCAAGGTCGTCCTGGTAACTGAAAGCGACCGGGGTCAGGTCATCTGATCCCGCTCGCTTTCAGGCGGACTAAGATACGTCCGCTCGAGTGTGTAGTTCATCGTAACGAGAAAATGTTGGCCGAGTGTAAGCAGAAACCGACTGGTTCGACCTGCTCGTCGAGGTAGAATGTCGGATATGAACCCGATGCCTGGATGGAACTGCGACAGTGTATCTTTCGGTAAAATTTCCAGTCAACTTACCTACTTACCTCGCGGGAAAATTAACACCGAGAGCCGACTCGATCTACGAAATTTGGATATTGAGCCCGAATTTGCACGAATTTGACTTCGAAGTTGCAAATTGGCGTTACGCTACGCAGCACTTTCAATCAGGCTTCCTCCTAACGGCTTTCTAATTTGGAACTCGCATCAGCGGAGCGTCGAACGTGTACTCGGGAAATCCTCATCGAGGTAAATATCTCTAGGATTTATCTGAAAGCGCGTCTCACACGACGCGTAGGGTGCGCGCGCGCACCAAGCGTGCAAGCGCGTCTGGGGAACGTGGATAATCGCAGGGAAGAGTCGTGATCTCGTCCGTGATCGAAAATCGCGTTTCAGCCTCGGCTGCGATGCAATCGAACGAAATTACTTTCCCGATCGCGTATACCGCGAAACTCGGGGAAATACACGCGCGCGGCCGCAATAAAGAGATTGGCGTATGCCGCGTTTTGCGAGCGAATTTATTTTCTCCCGGACCGCTACGCGCGCTCGCGATCGGTAAACACCGCGTTGCAAATTAACATCGCTCCATGAAACCCGGGCTCGTTCCCTCCCTCAGGAGAAACGGATATTTTTCGATAAGCGAATATTTAATTGAAACTAGTACGGCGTCGATGTGCGCGAAATATGAGATTTAAGCCGTTATAACTTTTGCGAGGTGCGTTCTCATTTAGGGAGAGAAAGTGGAAGGAAGAGAGAAACTGAATAATTACTGTGAATTCATAAGAATTAATTGAGAAAAAGGAAATGTTACACATTTTAATTAAAAAGAGAAGAAAGTGGAAACTGAATGTGGAGAACGTAGAGATCGCTGGGAAAATCATGCGTGTTTTATTTTTAATCGATTAATAAACAGTGAGTCTCTCTCTCTTTCTCTCTCTATTTACCTATTCCTATCTCCGTTACTTTCAAGTTTTATGATTTGTTTTCTGTCGCGCGCTCCGTCTTCTGCAGAAGCTTGTAATAAAGAATATTACTGCTTGCAATATATTGATATTGACAAAGAGTACGTAATAAAGTATACTACGTACATAGAGGGTATCCGTAACAGCACTTCGGATCCGCTTCTTCCATTTCTGCATTTATTGCCGCTGTTATTTGCAATATCGTTTATTACGAATCTGCGAATTGTTCCCGATGATTGTCTCTCATATTTGCACGTGACATCGCGCTCTGTCTAGGATGTTTGCGTTAGATATTAAATGGAGGATAAAAGCGACGTTATGAAAACAGCATGGAAAGTAAATAAAACACTTTTCAGACGCGACCTCCTTTGTCGTCGCAGAGGAGTCTCCGATCGTTGCTCCAGTAAAAAATCGCGAGTCGCGTCGAACCTGCCTGAAATGAACTCCCGGGGGTATGCCGATGAGCTCGCGCCACTGCGGTACGAAATGTCCCCCGGCATTATGCACGGTCGTCTACGATAAATAAAGCAAAAGCGCCTGCATATTGGAGGAGACGCGGCGGATCTATAGAGGTCGGATAAACGACTATGCCTATATACACGAAGGACTGTTAAAAATTAAAGCGCCATCCGATGCGCGTGAAGGTCGACGCACGTGACGCGCGCGTCCCGTGACGTCACGTGACGCGGGAAGAGCGCGCGTGCGACTTCTCTCACCGCGGGCGTAAACAAGCCTTATATGCTCCGATCCTGAATAACGACCACATTCCCACGAGGTCGTGCGACGAGCCTTTGACCTTCATGCCGTCGTGTAACGCTACACGTGGAGATCTTTCCGTCGCGGGACGATAGCCGGGGCGTTTACGCGAGGAAAATCCGCGCATAAAATCACCTGGCATCGGCGCGCGACCTTCGCTGAAAATCAGCGTCACGGTCTCGGGAGAGAGGCTGTCTAACGGTTTCTCGCACCTCGCGGAGGTAGCGACGGAGCAAGATCACGTGACGATTCGCTGTGCCGAACAGGCAACGAGGCTAGCTGACTGGCCGGCTGGTTCGCGTGGACGTGACCAAGTAAACATAAATAAATACAGAAATTCGCTCACCGTCCACACTCGTCGGATATCGCCGCCGCCGGCTGAGTCTCTCTTCTCGGCCGACGCCTCGCCGCTCCAGAAAGAACGCGGAAGAAGACGAGAGGACGTGCGGCTGCTACACCCAATTGCGACGAGTGGAACTTCTCGCGGATCCTGCTGTTTGCGAATTCGATGATGGCGCCCGATCGCGTAGCCTCGCGGCCTGTCCCGTCGTCTTCGTAATAACCACCGCGTGCCAGACTACCAGGCGTCGTCGCCAATAACCACACCGAGTGAACCGTCCGCCGCGATCTCACACCCACGACGGAGCACGGATGACTGACTGGTAGACGGTCGGTCGGGTTGCTCCCGCCGTGCCTTTACTTCCCTCTCTCTCACTCTCCCGCTGTCTGTCCCTCTCCCTTCGCTCCCCTTGCCCCCTTCGCCCGAGCATTTCGCTACGACTCCGACCCGCCGCGGTCCATCCCCGCCACTGACGGTTCCGAACGCCCCCGCTGCACCTTTCCTTGTCTCGTGACGTTATGCAGCGTAGCTTCGCTCTCTTTCGATCCCGGTGCCGTCTCCCTTTCTCTTGCCCGTCCTCCAAACCCCCTCGATCTCGCTCGGTCTCTCTCGGTCTCCCTTCATTCCCTTCGGTCTTTCCACCGTTTCTCTCTCGGTTCCTCTGGGTCTCTCCCGCCAGCATGCTGTGTGCGATCTCTCTTCCTCTTGTTCGCCAGGTGAAAGCATGAGCGAGACGTCGAATGAGAGAATGAGCGAGTAAGCGAGCGAGCGAGCGAACTCGACGGAGATGCCAGTGTCGGAGCAGCGCAACCAGATCCACGGCTTTGATTTTCTTTATTCCAGTTCGCTCGGTTTCTCCAACATTTGCCCGTAGACTTAGACCTAGCACGCGATCCTTCGCCCTGTCGTCTGAGGGGGGGGGGGGATCCCTTTTAATCTTCTTTCAATTTTTCATCACGGTCCTTCCGGCACTCCGATTTTTCGCCCGGAGCTTTGCTCCCGCGTGTGCGCTCTTTTTTTTTTATTTTAATGGCTTCCTAGCCGCGAGAGATACGGTCTTGTTGACCGACCATGCAAAAATACGAGATGAAGATATGTAGGTCAGTGCCGGTAAATGGGGTGTTTTAATATTTGGATACGCGGCTGAATTTTTTTCGGTGTGTATTTCCATTTTTATTTTCCGTCGTGTCGATATCTCTTATCGGGGAGAACGTGCGGTTTCTTTATTGGAATAATTATTTTGCTGTAATGTCACGCAAATTCCCCCGCAGAATGCAAATAAAGATTTATCTGACAGTTCGCGTTGTAGAATATTGGAGAGGCAGTTAAATTTATTGACCTACAAAACGAGGGCCTGATATCGTCGAACCTGGAAATATATCATTTGGCGTCGACTCCTTTTTTTTCTCTCCAGAAATAATGTCATTACGAAAATGATCGTAATCAGTGGAAAAATACGAATAAAAATGTACGCGACAATGTGGATATTACATATAATTCCTGGAAATCCAATTTATCGGAGTACTTGATCGCTCACGATTCGATAGATTTCAGAAATGAACTTTTATTCGCCATCGCCGTTATTTATCACTGGCGATATTCATTCCGCGGATTATTGAGTAAGGAAGCGCACGCAAGGGAAACTTCCGCGGCAAATTTTGGAACAGGGTCAAAGTTGGCACTATAATATCATTAACCTACTAACTGTTAATGCCAACTAATTCAATGACGAAAACATTTGCGCTGCAATTCGAAGCGGAGAATTATGCAAATGTCGGCAGCTATATTTTCCGACTCACGCTTGCTTCATTGTTTCATACTGATTGAAAAGATCTACTTCCACTTTTGAAGTAATTCGAGCGACTCGGACGTCGGTAATGATGTCAAAAGTTAGGGAAGATTCAATGTGTCCGGTCGCACAAATGTAACAGTTATGTAACAGTCTCTCGACGTTCGTCAAGAATTCCATGTCTAACGACCGTACTTCGGATTAACGTTCACCGTATTGAAACGGCTATTGATGTCGTCATGTGTCAGACCGACGATACATCAATCACTTCGTCCATTCGGATTTCTTCCCTCGCGCGATCATCACACAGGGTCCTCGATGGCGCTCGGACAGTCCTGGGAGTTCCGGCACGAATTCATTTCTTCCCTCTCTCACCCCTCTCTCCTCATTGATCCTCCTCCTCTGTAGCTGCTCTTCTGGATACATAAACTCGCAAGTGCATCTGATCTACTCCAGCGAAACTTTTAACCAGTGGAACGGAAAGCGGTGTCTCTCTCGTCATTGTCACCGCCAAGTCATGAACACAGCATTCTGCTTGCATCCACGTGTCGAAGGAGAGGCGTTTTAAATTTTATCGCTGTGTTTGCATCCGTACTCGAGAGGCACGCGAACAAGGGCACCGCCAGTCTTTCGATCGGCCCTGGTAGTTGCGGCACGAACACATCCCTTCCACGTCTCTCTCACCTTGCTCTTTCTCCTTCTACCGCTTGTTCTTCCTCTACATACGTGCACGTATGTACAAGTAGTACCGACGATACGAGAGCCTTTTTCTCTCTCTCTCTTCCCTTTTCCTCTCCTTCTCTCTTCCTCTGCCTAGGACCATCCAACATCCATCTCCTGTCCTCTTCCTTCTTCTCCTGCTCTTCCTCTTCTCGTTCTCTTTCCCTCTCTCTTTCTACCACATATATTCTCCTCTTCCATGCTTCCATCCCGATTTATCCGTCTCTGTTTTTCTTACCCGCAAAGGTATTTCAGTGTCGAAGAAGCGACGATATCGGAGGGGAATGCTAAGCACCGAGTGCGTATTCCGATAGAGTGAATAGGAAGTTGCACCCCTCGTTCTTCCTTCCTCCTTTTTCACAGCCGACGACTCCTCTCGGATCTGTATATGCTCCATCTCTTTCTCTATGTACGTATGCACCTTGTATATCGGCCGGGACAGCTTAATCGACGCGACGTGAGAAACGCGTAAAGGAAGAGCGCCTCCGAGTCTTCGCTCGTCATGTTCGAATTTGCAGCGAGCAACGGAGTCATCACGACGAATTCGACTCCTGTGTGATATGCGTTTATAAATAAATATCGCATTTTGATAATTAATTGCCCCGAAAGCTAATTACTCCATCGAACTTTCGGCCGTTGTCAGCGGTTCAAGGGGAGAGTATCTCGCCGACAAGGTGCCGACCCAGATCATTCCTGCGAGGGTTCCACAGGGCTGGAATTGCGTCTCGCTGTATTTACGCCCTCGCTAGTTCATATTTTCGCCAATAAGGAGACCCTCGTGACTCAGACGCCGGCGTCTACGTGTGCGCGCACAGTGAAGCGCTTCGAAAACAAATCCATCAGACACGGAGATGGAGTACCCCACTTTCCTGATGCGACCTGGATCTCAGCATCCCCCTCAGGATTCCGCGCGCCTTTCGGCGCTTATTTTTGCTCGGCCGAAAATCCGGATCCTCTTCATCATCCACCGTACCTGGCCGCACGGCTTCCGAACGGATGTGCTTCTCGTCTTCTTCGCCTTTAATTCCTCGGCTTAAAACCTCGCCGACAGAAATGACATCACGTAAAAGGGCGCCCACCACTATTGTCGTTATCGGCGAGCACGCGGATATTCGACAGATCGGATATTATCCGGATCTTCGTTATCGGTTCCGGTCTTGGCGCGCATCCTGCGCCTCGCAAGTCAAACGACGCCGATTCTTCTCCCCGACATATTTCAGCCCTTTTATCGTGCAGAAGCGTGTAAAAGGAAGCTTTTTCTCCTTCGCTATGTTCCTTATGCTCTCTTCCAAGAAAGTCCTATAATATCTATTAAGATTATAGAAAAGAGGGATCCCTCTTTAGATCGCGAAGAAACTGTTCGGACATACTTTTTATCCTTAGTAAGAGAGTGCGAGAGAGAGAGAAGGCCAAGGCGATATTGCATAAGTTACAGGAATAATCTGATTAATTTTCTTATCAAGTAACGTAGATGGACGTTTGCGTGTTGAATATATAATAACGTATATATACGTCGCATCGCGCGCACAGTACGCCGTTTGCATTCACTAATAATATCAATGATTACTGAGCTCAACGCTTAACGATAGACGGACGAGAGAGAGAGAGAGAGAGCACGGAAAATTAAAATGGACGGTACAATTAATGTTTCAATACTTTTCGTCATGACGAGCGACCGAGACTTCCAATATTTGCGCATTGCGTGAATAATCGATGGCCAAAAGTGCGGAATGTTGTACGTCGGCGTGAGGTAATTTTTGAAATTCCATGGACGATTCGTCTGTTATCGTCGAGCTGCGTTCTTTATGAATGAACGATAGAAGAGTCGCATAATATGTTTCATGTAAACTAGGAGCACGTGCCGTTACGCGTGGTTAACCCTATGAGTAATACCTGTGATCTAAGATACAGAAGTAATATCATAGATCTCAGGCATACATATCAGGGAAATAAATTTTAAATGGTAATTTTTTGCATTTTTTGGTCTTTTATGAATTATTAAGTTTATTATCAATTTTTATTTACTGTCTTTATAGATTAAGGTCTGCTAAAGTTTTAGACGTCCATATATTGCAACTAATTTAGCTACTGAAGCTAATCTTTTTCTTCCGTACAAGAAACCAGTTATCTCATTGAATCCGGCTAATAATAGCAGCGGTTACATAAACCCAATTCTTTATCCTGAGTAATAGAGGAATAAGAATGGGGTACAGTGTCTTGCATGAAACGTGCAAGAAGGAGTAAAGAAAACGTGAATAGGCCTCAGACAACACAGAATCTAAAATCGAGACATTTAAGGCATATTTGAGGCATATTAAAGTCGTTTATAAGATGTCTATTAGATATCTTTAAGGCGTCTTAAAGACATCTCATGTTCCGGCTTTAGGTTTTGTGCTGTCTGGGATGTCACTATTAGGGTTTTAACCGCCTCGAATGAAACGACGGCGTCAATATCATGAATAAAATAATCCGCATAAGCGACGCGTCCGTCGCCAATAACCAAAAACAAAAACCGTGCACTGATCTTGCGATTTAATCACCCGAACGTCTCACTCGATTCTTTCTTTTTCATACAGGTTGGCAAAGCATCGCATCGATAATGAATCGCGCGTAACGTAAAATTGCAAACGATACCTTCCGGACAAACCGTCTGCGTTCGCTCACTCGCGAAACGTTCGAATTACACCCGACAGAAGTCCCGATTAATTCAATATTCCCCGTCGCCGTTATTGTAAACGCAGCTGCCGGTCTGTATCTCGTAATTACAATCCGATCCCTTCTTTTG